TGCTGACAACTCTCCAACCTAGGTTGTAGGTCGCAACAATATTAAAGTCATGGACCTCCACAGCATTGGAAAAAATCTAACATCCAAGAGAGGACTTCTCTTAGACCCACTAATTCTTTCATACAACCATTTTCCCTTAGTAACTGACTCTTCTTTTGAATTATAAGTCCTTCTCGTCATGAAAAATTTTATTTCCTAACTATGAAGCATTTGAAAACTTAAATCACAAGAGTGGGAATAACAGCAGCAAACAACAAATTCCTCATTAACCCAGGTTCGAATCCTAGTCACAACACCAACATTTCCTCTTACCGATCCACTCTGTGATATATCCAGGTGAAACTGGAAACTTTAAAGCTACAGCATATAGGTCTGCTAAACTAGAAATTCAATCAAGAAATTGATTGTATAATAATACTAAAACTCTTAAAAACTGAATCGATGTTGAACAGATTAACGAGACAAAAGTATAAAACAAGATGAATAATATTTATTGATATGTAATTACAAACATAATGTGTGTACTTATGTTTTACTTATGTCAGACCATTGCTTCTATTAGATTGTTACGTATCTGCTCGTTTGATAATTTCCCGTAAAAATTCTTTCCGAGAAACTTCATCAATACAAGTCCTTTGTTAATTAAAACTAGTTTATTCTTTCTTGTTACAAACTTTGTAATACAATTAATTTCCACAGTCACTTTAACTTCAACACACGCTATAATTCACAACGATTTACGCACTTTACTTATAGTCACTACTGCTCACTTGGCTAAATTATCTGTCTCTATCTCTCTATCTCCAATTATATCTCCGCTTTATTTGCCGGGCTTATATACTAAAATAGAGGGCGCCTAGAAAAGACTAGAGTTGTCAGGAACAGTCATGATCCTTCTAGAAACTCCAGCGCGCATGCTTCCAGCGTCACGTGACTTCCGCTGTCGTAAACCTGCCCCTTCCTTAGTATTGTTCGTCCCGAACAATAGCCACTTACATTAAACCAATAGATAATTAACAATAACTTAATTAAATGTAAAGAATTTACAAACACAAAATTAAAATTCAACAAAGTCTCTTAATTTTACGGGACGTATCTTCTTCCGTACTGGTCTCCATCTCATTGGCTTCTGCTTCACGTGGGTTTCATCTGCTGCATCAGGAAATGTCCTATTATCGGTAACAGTCACATCAGTGGTAGTAACTTCATCAAGGGCTTCACTGTTTCCCTTCTCAAAACCGGGTAGAGTTTCTTCTTCGACAGTGGCTTTTTCAGGTGACACGTCTTCAGCAGCATCATTTGTTCCGTTGTTCTCTTCATTCCAAGTGAAATGTATTTGACCATGATAATGCCAAAGTCTGTTGGCATGCACCACCTTTGGTTTACCTCGCCGACCACATTTTATTCGGAAAGTCACGTCTGAGAGACGATCCACTATCTCATATGGGCCTTCCCATGGAGATGACAACTTAGGAGACTTCCCTTTGGTCTTCCTGAGATTATACAACCACACCTTGTCTCCTGGTACAAAGCTGACTTCAGTAGATCTCTTATCATAACATAGCTTAATGGAATCAGCAGACGTTTTCAAGTTTGAACGCACTTGATGATGAATATCATCCATTCTTTCAGATAACACTTTCACGAACTCTGACACATTTTCAGGCAACTCTTCATAAGGTGGGCATCCTGTTATCAGATCCACTGGCAACATCAACTTTGCTGGAGTGTATCCAGTGGCTTTGTGTTCTGCTGTTCTATAGGCCATCAACAGTGGAGGAAGTAAGACATCCCAGTCATCTTGGTGGCTCTTATAAAACTTTGCCAATTTATGTCCAAGTGTCCAATTGCACTTTTCTACCATCCCATCAGACTGTGGGTAGAGTGGTGTTGTCCTGGTCTTTCGTATGCCAAACAACTTGCAGCATTCATGGAACACAGCCGATTCAAAGTTACGGCCTTGATTCGAATGCAGTTCATATGGCATACCAAACCTGAAGAAGAAATCACTAATAGCCCAAGCTACAGTTGATTTGGTATTGCATATGCATCAGGCTACTTAGTGAAATAATCCATCACCACACAAATGTACCTGTTTCCATCACGAGTTTGGGGCAAAGGACTAGCAATGTCAATGGCTACTCTTTCCATTGGTGCACCAACCTGATATACCTTCATTGGAGCACATCCCTTATG